ATCCCCCTCCTCACTGACAAAACGGCGACGCCGTGGGGTCGAAGCCTTTGAACACGTCCTTGAGCGATTTATCCCCGTCCTCCTCCCTCCCGGGGCTCACCCCAAACACGGGGGGTGGGTTGTGGGAGACCCCCGAGGAGACCCCCGAGGGGGACCCCCCAAAAACCCCCTCCCCGATTTTGGCTCCTCGTGGCCGGTTGTAGCTGTTGTACCTGTCCGAGCTCTCCGCTCTCTCCTCCGCCTGCTCCAACGCCGAGCGCCGCACGAAGGGCGGATCCTTGGGGCACCTCTTCCCCCCTTCCCCGCCGCATTTTTGGGATGAATTCCCCTCGTTTTGGGGTTCTTTGGACGAGCCGCAAGTCCGGGGGTCGTAGAGGCTGATGGCGCTCAGGACGCTGCTCTGGCCGCAGCCCCCCCAGCTCAGCCGAGGGTCGTAGGGGGCGATGGCCGGGCCGGGCTCGGGCTCCGAGCTTTGGGAATCTTCCGGAGCTTTCTGGAGCGGCCGGGAATCGCCGCTCTCCGGAGCTTTCTGCAGCCGGGGGTCGCTGGGGGCCTTCCGCACCCGGGGGTCGCTGGGTTTGTCGCCGGGCGAGGAGGACGCGACGCTTTTGAGGATGCGGGAGAGGAGCTCGAAGTCGGGGAGAGCCGAGGATGATGATGATGATGATGATGAGGATGATGAGGAGGATGAGGATTCGGATGAAGCCGGACGAGGCGTCCGAGGGTCCGAGGGCGGCCGGGCGACCCGAGGGTCGGCGGGAGGAGGAGGAGGAAGAGGAGGAGGAGGAAGAAGAAGAAGGGGATCCTGCTTGGGGAGGGGGAGCGGGATGAGATCCTCGGGGCTCCAGAGCACGGAGCGAGCGAAGGGAGGCCGGAGCAGCACCACGTCCTTGCGGATGTGGGAGAAGCGCTGGAGCTGGGAGCGCGGATCCCGCTGGGAATAGCCGGGAACGGCGTCCAGGGGGATGCTCAGGGCTTTATCCCGCAGGATCCGCTCCCCCTCCT